CAACTTCAACCTAGGATGAGAAAGCATCGTAGCCAGGCACCTTAGTGGTTGTGCCTAGGATGTTGGTCTCTGTGCTGGCCAAGGTGAAGCTTGCTCCACACCACCCACCCCCGGCTGCCTCTCTGCTTCCTACTCTCCTGGCCCTATGGCTGGTGTTTATTTAGGTGCCTGACAATTTTGTGCATGGAAGGGTTTTTCCTAGTGCCCCACACCTTCATACTTTTACAGAACCAAATGAAGACGGCAAAGGTGAGTAGGAAGCAGTCAGAAACAACCGTGCAGATGACTTCTGAGTCCTTCCTGCAGAGACCGAAATCCTAGTTACACAGTGGTACCAGCATATGCGTTCACTATCCTCATGTGTTTTCATCTCAGACCTTAAGCATCTTTGTAATCAAGGCCATTGTTATTAGTAATCCACTTGGTGGTGTAGCTATAACAAAATCTAAGTGGCATAGGGCAGGTGCAGGTAATCCTCTTGTCCAAGGCCACAGTATTAAGGGAGAGGAAGCAGAGTGTCTAAAAAGTAAGGTGATGTTCTCAGGCTTCTAACTGGTAACTGAGTGATTGCTGCCATGAGGTGAAAACTTAGCAAATATTTTTATGCTGTTTAGAAACACTGTGTTACCCCTGTAGCCTAATGTGGCTTTTTGCTTTTGTAAATTTTTTTGTACTTTGTGCTATTAAGTAGAAGAAAGGGAAAACTTAAGGATAGATCTGTCCCCTCCGTGATGTTTTTCAGCCTATCATTTTATCTCCACCTTTAGAAAAAATATATATATAGTTGACTTTGTATTTGTCCTTATGCACACACATACTTAAAATCATGTCAGCGACTATTGCAGGGACACAGAATAGAGTCAGAATGAGAAAGTTTTATATATATATATCTCAGTATAAATGAATTTTCTTCTATAAGGACACATAAAATTTAGAATTTAAAAAAATACACTTCATTTGGTTCTATAAAGAAAGAAAAAAGAAATCCTTTTCCCTGAATCACC